TATCTTGAGACCATGGCCCCTTTATCTAGACCTCATCATTCCCGCATCCAGTCTGTTCAGCCCTTTCAGAATTTTATACATTTCAATGATATCCTTCCATTCTTCTAAACCCCAGTGAATGCAGTACTAACCAGCCCATTCTCTCCTCATACAATAACCCTGCCATCTCAGGAATCTGTAGGGTGAATCTTCCCTGCATTCCCTTGATGGTAAATACGCAAGTTCTGAAAGTAAGGAGACAACAATCTTCCAAATGTGGTCTCACTGAGGTCCTGCACAGCCGTACATGCATTGAGGCATCCTAGCCCCCATACTTTAATTCTATTGCAATGTACCATTTGTCCTCCTAACTGCTTTCTGCACCAGTATGTTTGCTTTCGGTGACTAATGTTCAAGGACACCCAGGTCCTTTTACACACCAACATTTCACAATCTGTCAGCATTTAAGTAATACTCTGCCATTCTGTTTTCTTTCCTACTGAAGGTAATAACATTACACTGTATCTATCATGTATTTGTCCACTTTCTCAACTTGTCTAAATTGCCTTGAAGACTCTTCACATCCTCTTCACTCACAATCTCACCTAATTTGGTGTCAGCAGCAAACCTGTCAATATTACATTTGATTTCCTTATCCAAATCATTGACATATACTGTGAATAGCTTGGGCCCAAACAGTGTTCCCTACGGTAGCTCACTAGTCATTGTCTTCTGCTCTGGAAAAGATCCATTTATTTCTACTCTCTTTTCCTGTCTGCTAACCAACTTTCAATCCATAATGTTGCTCAAAAAGGAGAACTCAAACCCTTTACTCAGGTATTCTTCCCTTATGTGACAGACAGAAGACAGGGAACCGACTCAGAATTCAATGAAGCAAACTCTTCTTTACATAACCCTTTGAGTCCAACACTTAATATAAAACATACATTTGTTGCAATATTTACTTCTTACTTCATCTAACTTATCTTCAACTTCAACTCATATCATTTAACTTCACTTTCCCTTCCTTTCCTAAATTCACATTTAACCCCAACTCTAACTTTAACTCTATAAGTTTGGCTTGAATCAAATAATGCCCCAATCTGAGTGAAGTGGCCAACTTTGTTCTCCATGTAGGTCTTTCCTCAAGGTTCTTTGTTTCTCTGAAACAAAGGGCACATACTTCTTAGGGAGCTGCCTCCCTAACCTGTTCTTCCTCCCACCTATCCCCTCCTCCCACCTCAAGCCGCACCTCCATCTCCTACCGACCAACCTCATCCCGCCCCCTTGACCTGTCCGTCCTCCCTGGACTGACCTATCCCCTTCCTAACTCCCTACCTACACTCACCTTTACTGGCTCCATCCCCGCCTCTTCGACCTGTTTGTTTCCTCTCCTCTATCCCTCTTCTTTCCGCCTCCCACTCTCTCCCTATTTATTTCAAAACCCCCTTCCCCTCCCCCTTTTCTGATGGCCCCCTTGACCTGTCCGTCCTCCCTGGACTGACCTATCCCCTTCCTAACTCCCTACCTACACTCACCTTTACTGGCTCCATCCCCGCCTCTTCGACCTGTTTGTTTCCTCTCCACCTATCCTCTCCTCTATCCCTCTTCTATCCGCCTCCCACTCTCTCCCTATTTATTTCGGAACCCCTTTCCCCTCCCCCTTTTCTGATGAAGGGTCTAGGCCCGAAACGTCAGCCTCTCTGCTCCTATGATGCTGCTTGGCCTGCTGTGTTCATCCAGCCCTGCACCTTGTTGTCTCGGATTCTCCAGCATCTGCAGTTCCTACTATCTCCCTTCCATATGGATCAGTTCTGGGTCCTCTTTTGTTTCTCATTTATATAAATGATTTTGATGAGAATATAGAAAGCATAGTTAGTAAGTTTGCAGCCAACATCAAAATTGGTGGCATAGTCGACATTGAAGAAGGTTGTCTAAGGATCTTGATCAAATGGGTCAATGGGCTGAGAAATGGCAGATGGACTTCAATCTAGATAAATGTGAGGTGTTGCATTTCGGTGCAACAAACAAGGGTAGGGCTTATACAATTAGTAATAGGGCCTTGGATAGTGTTGTAAAATGTTGAGCTTCGGGCTTTTTTATCTGCTCTAGTTTTAATTAAGATTCTTGAAAGGTTAGAAAAATAATGTATTATCTTCCAAAAAAAAAGCTTTCAAAGTGACTTACATAAATAGTACAGATTCAAATTAAATTTTGTGAATAGTTCAGGAGAAACAGCTTTGGCTATACATTACCTGAAAAAAATACATCCTTGCAGACTGAATTCACAAGACATTAGCTCAAGTGAGGGACAAGAATAAGTTCATGACAATGACATTATTAAATTGAGTTAATGTTGGAGCCCACTTTTTACAATGGTACTGGAATTGGATGAGTCACAAAGTCAATGTGGTAAGAAAACTGGACTGTTTTCATATTCCAACACCAGAGGAGTACATTGAACAAGAATTGGACATGCATCAGAATTGACTTAATAAAAGGATATTGGCAAGTTCCACTAACTAATACACCTAAAGAAATATCAGCTTTTGTACCACTGGATGGACTTTATCAGACCATTTGAAATGAAGCATGCATGAGCAGCTTTCCAATGATTAACCAACAAAGCCATTTGAAATTTGAATTCAATTAAAATCTGGAATAAAAAGCTAACCTACTCATGACTATGTAAAAATCCATCTGTTTCACTAATGTCCTTAATGGAAGGAAATCTGCCATTCTTACCTGGTCTGCCTTACATGTGACTCCAGGCTCACTGTATTATGGTTGAATCTTAGCTGCCCGCTGGGCAATTAGGAAGGGCAATAAATTCTGGCTTACTCAATGATATCCACATCTCATGAGGAAATTAAAAAAGCTTCATGCCACCGGACTCAGGAAGGCTTGTAAAATTGTCTCTGCCGTTCAAGAACAGAAACTACTATAATAACCAAACATAAAAACTTAATGTATGATCTATCGAGTTAACTTTCTTTCTGGGATCTGATTTGTACAGTATTACCATCAACTGGTATCATACATATCCAGTAGACAATAAAGAAATGGTAGAAAAGATGTTTAGGATGACCTCTTTCTATATCCAAGATGCAATGGCATGAATGGGGTTGCAGACTCCATTTTCATGTTCTTTATTTACCTCTGTACCCCCTGGTGATGAACAGTAAGTTGACATGCACTGTTCATTTGTGTTTTAAAGATTACTGAAATGTTGATAGTAAATAAAGTGCATTATTAAATATGTAATACCTTCTAGCTTTTCAAATCTGTTAAGAGTAAGGAAGTAATTTTCACTTTGCGTGAAGTTTGTTTTAGTATTCTTTATACGCGATAGTCAGTTGGCTACACCCTGAGGTTAAGGTTTGGCAAGCAATTCCTCCTGCACCTTTTATATAATCAAATGGAATTGATCTACATTCTAGTTATAATTTGTTGCCAAGTTCATAGAATCACTACAGCATGGAAACAGGTCCTTCGGCCCAACAAGTCCGCACCGACCCTCAGACCCCACCCAGACCCATCCCCCTATAACCCACCTAATCTACACATCCCTGAACACTATGGGCAATTTAGCATAGCCAATCCACCTAACCTGCACATCTTTGGACTGTGAGAGGAAACATACACAGGCGCAGGGAGAATGTGCAAACACCACAGTCGGCTAAGGGTGGAATTGAACCCAGGTCCCTGGCACTGTGAGGCAGCAGTGCTAACCACTGAGCCACCGTGCCGCCTTAATTTTGATGCATATTTGCAGTTTTTTGAAATCCTGATCTTCCCTCCAAATTAGGTCTGAAGTGGGGATGTTTGCTGATAATTGCACAATGTTCAGCATCATCCATGACTCCTCAAGATACTGAAGCAATAACATTCGCACCATACAAACGCCAGGAAATAATGACTTTCAGTCAAAGACAATTGCCCTTCAACATTCAATGGCATTACAATCACTGAGTCCCTCATTATCAATATCCTAGGGGGTACCATTGACCAGAAACTGAACAGGCCTAGCTATATGCACTTACTTATAGAGCAGGCCAGATGTTAGGAATACTGCAGCAATTAACTCACCTCATGACTCCCCCAAGCCTGTCCACCATCTACAAGGCACAAGTCAGGATTGTGATGGAATACTCCCCACTTGCCTGGATAAGTGCAACTCTAGCAACACTCAAGAAGCTTGATACCGCCCAGGACAAAGCAGACCGCTTGACTGGCACCACATCCACAAGAACCCATTCCCTACACCTTCAATGCTCAGGAGCAGAAGTATGCATCATGTACAAGATCTGCTGCAATAATTCACCAAGTTTCCTTAGATGGCACCTTCTATGCCTAAGATCACCACTATCTAAAAAGATAAGTGCAGTAGATACATGGAGTACCACCACCTGCAAGTTCCCCTTCAAGTCTCTCACCATCCTGACTTGGGAAAGTATTGTCTTTCCTTCAATGTCACTTGGTCAAATTCCTGGAATTTGCTTCTGAGTAGCATTGTGTGTCTACTTGCAGCACTAGGGTTGCAGCAGGTCAGGAAGGCAGCTCACCATCACCTTTCCAAGGGCAACAAGGGGCAGACAATCAATGCTGGCCCAGCAGCAAAGCCCATGTCCCACGAGTGAATAAAAAATATAATTTGTAAAGTGTATGCGCATATCTGCCCATGTGTAAACCTGTCCGTTTGTGTGCACGTGTGTGTGTGTTTGTGTATTAATTGTGACTGACTGCTTTACTGTGGATTTTGACCTCATGTAACAGTGTAAGAGTGACAGTGAGTTAGTGGTCCATTTCAGATATATCAAGAACTGTATTTTTATTGATTTCAACAGGAGTGAAGTAAAATAAGTTATCAGTTATCATCAATTTCGCACAGAAAGGCAACATTACATCCCTTGAACTTTGGTTCTTCTTGCACTTGACAGGTTGAAGGTTCCTTCTTGTTGTAAAAATTCCGTGACCTCAGATCTCTTATGTTGTGCTTCAATTAATTTCTGTCATTTCAGAATTTGTCCAACAATGAATTACGAACATGGGGAGTAGAAGTGTTGTGTAAAATGCTTCCACTGAACATTTCACTTAAGTGCATCAAACTCTCGGGTAGGTGCTATGCCTTATAAAGCTGCAAACGTTTATCAGTTCAATGATAGCTGTTCCCAGATATAAGTGATCTAGTCCAGCAATGGACCATGATAGATACTCGGGTCACAATGTCTGGTAGTCTATGGTAAGTCCCAGACATGCAATTCCAAATTAGCAGACTTCCTGTTCTATTGCAGCAACAAAGTGATTTGAAAGGAAAATGGAATGGAGTAATGCACAACCTAGGGCAACAAATTTCTCTTCCTGTATCTGAATTTAAAAGTTAAAAAAATCACAAATGTAACTATTAACGAATTTTTTCTCCCTAGTCAGTTGGTAGCCTTTTGCCTCTGAAACACAGGTTGCTGGGTTCAATTTGCATGTCTGAGTGCAAAATTTAAGGGTAACATTCCGCTGCAGCAGTGAGGAAGTGCTCTGTTGGAGGTTCTGTCTTTCAATTGAGATGCTAAACTGAGGCCTTATCTTTCTCCTTGTTTGAATGTTTGGAAGAAGTGCTGGGGAGTTACCCCACCGTCCTGGTCAATATTAATCTCTAAATCGACATTGCACAAAGCAAACAGTCTGGTCATCAACTCATGATTGGCTGTGGGAGCTTGCTGGGCACATAATGACGGCCACATTTCCTACATTACAAATGTTACCATACTTGAAAAATACTGCACTCTGGAACATCAGTGATCATAAAGTGCTGAATAAAACCTTTTCTTTAACATTGGTTGCTAGTTCAGTGACAGTAATTACACCTATGATTCATGCTTTTGCGTTTTTTATAATTACAAGCCTTATTACAGTGGATGATTTGGTCTTCCATGTACATCATATTTTGACTCAGCTGGCAGGAGTGCACTGATAATCAAGCTCTGCTATACCATGGGTCTTATCAAAACTGCAAATGTTTATTTAAATCACCAAAGTTGGTACTACCATCTGAATAAAAGAAATGCTCACCATTAGTTGGCATTTAACTAAAATCTATTTTGTGTATTTTAAGAAAGTTTGTTCATACAATAATTGGTAAAACTGGTGAACAACTAAGCTACTGTGCACAATTAAACTATATCCACTTAATTCCAAACACACACTGAGCAGACAATACAGCTCTGCAGAAATGATACAGCTTCTTTAGAAAAACAAACCAAGTGGAAAAATAACATGGTGGGCAGAGATTTCAAGATCAAAGGATTAAATGGGAAGACATCTCACAGTTCATTCGAGTTCCTTTGATGGGATTGAAGTGCTCATAGAATCAATGAGACCTTCAAATTCTGCTTGAGTTCAGATGAATCACTGAGAAATCTTGATACATGACTTTGTCAGGCCCTTACAATATTTCAACCAAAGAGAGATCTTTGTAGCTGGTTCTGCTTTTGGGGTTTCTGTTACCTTTCAGTAGAGTCAAAGTTTGGTCTTTGTGGCCTGGAGGCCTTTCTTCAACTGATATGGCACAGGTTTACCAGAAAACATATTAATTGGAGTTCAGAAGCTGTTGCTACACAACTTTCAGCACATGGCCACTCACAAACCAGTTTGTTCAGTGATTGAAGCCATAAAACCCATCTATCTCTCTTAAAAGTTCTGCTTGATTTCCACAAAGTTGTTTGGCTTTTTGTAAGCAGTAAGTGAACCACAACACACTTTAACTTTATGACCTTTGACTTCCAAGAAGTCAAATGGTAAACACTCTTCAACTTTGAAACTGTCCACATTTTTCACCTATTTCAGCTTCTTTCACAGAGTAACCTTTAAACACTATATATTCCGAACAAGTAAATGATGTGCAACTTACACAAGCTGACTCTAATGCTTATGGGGAAAAGACTGAAAAGATTATAATTGGATTAAACATCTAAAATTTGACATTAGCCAAATGTTCAGAATAAGACTGTACTGTAGTATAAGAAGAGAGTGTTTGGACAAGACTCAACATTGAGTTCAACAACTTTATAGCATGAACACTGTCCTCCATTTTGATGACAGCCCCTTTCCCACACTGATGTCTGATTTATATGGGCTGGCTCTTACAAGGCTGACCTATATTTTACTTGTCACACTTACCATTAAAATATCTATTTTGCACTTATATCACTCGTCTAGGACCATTAACATTCCCTTTGTCCTTTGGTCTGGGCCCTCATTATCTGCTCCACTTGATCTTCCTCCACCTTTATCAACAGTGTAAAAAATATAATTTTTCAGCTTCCTTCAGTTCTGAAGAAGAATCATATTGGATTTATTTCTCTCTCTACAAATACTGCTTAACCTGCTGCATTTCTCCAGCACTTTATGTTTTCAATTCAGTTCTCCAGCATCCACAGCACTTCGCTTTTATGATAGAAAAAGTAGAGATCCAGGTTCCTTCTAACTTCAGAGCACTTTCAAGCATCAGAGGCAATGCAGCTGATACAGGACCTGGAGGGTGAGAGCTGGTCACCAACCACTCCAAGACTCCAAGTTCTCTGCCATCAGGAAGCATTCTTGGGAGTCAGGTTTATTTCCATGTTATTTCATTTGAATGGAAGAACAAATCAGTCATGGTATAAAGGTTCTAATTCTTGAACAAAACATTCATACATGAATTGTAAGTAGTTATTGATATTGGACTAACATCTCCTTATTCATGGTAACCACTAGGAAACCCACCAACAGTAAATGTACCATTTATTTTGTGTTCCTTACAGTGATGGATGTCAATGCTAAGGAATGGAATGCCCATTAAATACCAAACACTCTCAAATTGAGTATAACACACTCACACTAATTCCTAATCTAAGAAGACCCCACGGGACATTATGCACTGTGCCAATTGCTACTTACCTCTGTCCCTGCTTGTCAAATTCACTCACGAAAGGGGAAGCATTGGCTGCTCTGAAAGCCCTTTTGTGACAAATTAATGGCCACTGATGGCCTCCTTCCACTGTCACTGAGCTATTTATGTGGCAGAGAGGCTCCTCCTAGATGTCCAGATCACCCAGTTAAAGGTGGCAGACTGATGGATGGTGAGGTGACAGTTGTCTCCTGTTGGGGCAATCTGTACACTGCAAAATTGTCGCAGAATGATATCCTAGTGGTGATTCAATGCAACATAACCTCACCAATGCTTCTTCTCCAATCTGCAGGAAACAAGTTGAAATGCAACGATGCTTCATATTTTGCAGAGACTTTATCTGTAAGTAAAGACGAATGTCAAATATCCAATGTCCAATGCCTATTTCCAACTGAACTGAAAACAGCCTGGCATTTCCATTGCTTTTCTATTAGATAGACTAGTTGAACAGTTGAGTACTTATTTCATCACATTCTCACCTTTTCTGTTTATTTGTGCTTCCTATTTGCAATATAGCTTCAGCAATCAAGATGGCAGCCAGTTAATGTCACCTCACACCAGGGCTAATCCCCTCAAATATGGAACTTGGACTGATATTTATTTTCTGGGATGGGATTTGAAGGTTTTAATGATGTGACAGACATGTTCAATGTAGTAACAAGCTGGTTGCTGGAATGTTGGACCAATTGTCGATATTGCTTGTAACAGGTAGCTTGATAATCAGTTCATTTTAAAGGCCGGTATACTTTGTTGGTCACTGTCCTAAGGAAATGGAATTAGTTACACAGGAGGTTTTGTATGGTCTGATCAGTCAAGTAACTTCTGTAGTATTTGGCTGGCTTAGACTTTTTTTCAGTTTTTTTGTCGTGGATAGGATGCATCTGACAATTTTGCATTTTGCCAGGAGGATGCCAGTTTTGACCTTGGCTTGGAATAGCTGGGGGACAGCAGCTTGTTCAGATTAAAAGATTTTCAACATTATGGTTAGAATGTTGTCAGTGTCCATACCCCTTGTTACATACAGTGGACTTTAATGCTCAATGAAAATTGAACATAGCATCTAAAATGGTGGTAACTGCATGAAGAGTTTCTAGACTAAGTTACATGGAAAAATAATATGCTCATGTATAATTAATTTGATGGCAGATTTTTTAAAAATGTATCTCTAGTTATTTTGCTCAAAGTTGCACCTATAGTCTAATTTCAGAATTTCAGAGCTGGATCTCAGTTACAATCAGTTTGGAGACAAAGGAGCAGAGTTCCTGGGACAAATGTTAGGTAAGAATTAACTTCACAGATGTCACATGATCATTCATTTGATTTTCTTCTTTTACACAACATGGAATTCTTCCTACAGGTAAATGAATGAGAGACTGAACATATTTGTTGCTCCAATCAACAAAATACTCAACAAGAAAGCATGTTTTTTTATTCCAGAAATCCAGTGGGAAGGATAAAATTGGAGCCAATCTTATCATATATTTAGATTTCTTTACAGAATTACACCTTGCATGCGCCTTCCAACTTAACAATTTTAGTGATGTCTGTTTTATATGGCTCAAGTGAATCCTCAGCTAATACCCACCAGATATACACAATTAATATACAGTTAGCTAAGTGACATCTTTTATTTCCTCAATCATCTCCATGCTCTGCATTGTAGACACGAGTGACTATCCCATGATAAGTTCAATAAATCAATCTTCATGCAAGTGCTTAGACAGTGAGGAGACTGATTGTGTAGGAAAAACATTACAGCCTAGTACAATACTGTCCTCAATGAAATTTAGAAGAATGAAAGGTGGATGCATATGTTACAACCAGGTGAGGCGAGATAATTCAGCTCCTCTCTTTTAACCTTTTGTGGTCAGTCAGAACAAATAGCTTATTTTGTTTTTGGAGTACAGCTATGATACTTCAATTAAAAATGCATTTACCAAAATGAAAAGGTTTTCTTGAGTGAAAGATAAATGTATTACCTTTAAACTTCATAAAAATAATAAAACATATCAAACACAGGTAATGTATTTAAAAATGACAAAGTGACTGGTACAAACAGGCATACAATTTAAACATCCTCAGAATCCTTGAGGTGTTAGATTTTCAACTGGAGATATAGTTGTTTAATTGCTGACTCATATCCTTTGCAGTAGTGACATTTGTAGATATACTTGAGTTTTTGGTGAGTGCCTGCTTTGCCAATTTGCTTTCTCACCAGCGACTGTCTCCTGTTACGATGAGAAGGGATGAGGGATAAAGAGAGAGACAGAAAGCCTTCAAGGTGCTATTATATGCCCATCATTTGTTCACTCTGCTCTGCTGCACAGAAGTATGGTTTGTTTGTACAGTGATTGTAACAAGGTCAGCAAGGTGGACCTCATACAATATGAATTCAGTGACTGGGCTGTTAATATGGTCCAATCAGGAAGCCCTGACTGGCAGATATAAATAGGAGCATCAGAGGTTCTGTTCGCTCTGAAAGCTGGCTCTGAGGAAGCTGGATCAGTGTCAAGGACTCTCCACATATAAATAAAGGGTGACTGAGTGACAGGATACAGGCCTAACTGAAGTTATGCTTGGTGGCTGGGACTGGATGCCAACATTGCTGCATTGGTGGGGCAGTGCCCAGAGTGCCTACAAGGACAGCAGCTCCCCCACATTCGTGGGAATTGCCATGTAAACCCTGGATTCCATTACAGGTCAATAGTGCAGGACCTATCATGGGCTCAATGTTCTTAGTCATTTTGAATGCCCACTCAATGTGCCCAGACATGGTTCATTTGTCAAATGTGGGGATGGCGATAGAAAGATTGCTTGCATCTTTTGCAATATGTGGATTCCGGGAAGTGTTGCTCCCAAATAACGGGTCATTGTTTACCAGCAGGGAATTTGAGTACTTCCCAAAGTCAAATGGTATTCGTGATATAAGGACAGCGCCATATTATCCATGGGTAGGTGATGGCCTAGCAGTATTATTGCTAGACTATAAATCCAGAAACCCAACTAATGCTCTGGGGACCTGAGTTTGAATCGCATCATGGCAGATGGTGGAATTTGATTTCAATATTTAAAAACAAAGTCTGGAATTAAGAATCTACTGATCACCATGAAATAATTGCCTATTGTCGGAAAAACCTATCTGGTTCACTAATGTCCTTCTGAGAAGGAAACCTGCCACCCTCACCTGGTTTGGCCTACATGTGACTCCAGACCCACAACAATGTGGTTCACTCTCAATTGTCCTCCGGAAATTGCCGAGCAAGCCATTCAGTTGTACCAATCACTACTAAGTCTCAAAAAAATGAAACTGGATGGATCACCTGGCATCGACCAAGACATCGGAAAAGACAACGGCAGAAACAGCCCGATCGACCCTGCAAAGTCCTCCTCACTGACATCTGGGGGTCAGTTTCAAAATTGGGAGAGCTGTCTCACAGACTAGTTAAACAACAGCCTGACACAGTCATACTCACAGAATCATACCTTACAGACAATGTCCCAGACACCACCATCACCATCCCTGAAAAGGGTCTGATCCACTGGCAGGACAGACCCAGCAGAGGGGGCGGCACAGTGGGATACAGTCAGGAGGGTGTTGCTCTAGGAGTCCTCAACATTGACTCTGAATCCCATGAAGTCTCATGGCTTCAGGTTAAACATGGGCAAGGAAACCTTCTGCTGATTACCATGTACCATCCTCCCTCAGCTGATGAATCAGTATTCCTCCATGTTGAACAACACTTGGAGGAAGCACTGAGGGTGGCAAGGAAACAAAATGTACTCTGGGTGGGGGATTTCAATGTCTGCAGCAGGTGGTGAAGGAACCAACAAGAGGGAAAAACATACCTGACCTCATCCTTACCAATCTGCCAGCTGCAGTTACACCTGTCCATGACAGTATCAGTAAGAGTGGTCATCGCACAGTCCTTGTGGAGACGAAGTCCCGCCTTCACATTGAGAACAACCTCCATCGTGTTGTGTGGCACTATCACTGTGCTAAATGGGACAGACTTCACACAGATCTAGCGACTCAAGACTGGGCATCCATGAGGCGCTGTGGGCCATCAACAGCAGCAAAATTGTACTCCAGCACAATCTGTAACCTCATGGCCCGCTGTATCCCCCACTCAACCATTACCATCAAGCCAGGGGATTAAAGCCAGGGCTCAATGGAAAACGCAGGAGGGCATGCCAGGAACAGCACCAGCCATACCTGAAGATGAGGTATCAACCTGGTGAAGCCTCCAAACAGGACTACTTGCACGCCAAACAGTGAAAACTGCAAGTGATAGACAGAGCACAACCAACGGATCAGATCTAAGCTGTGCAGTCCTGCCACATCCAGTCATGAATGGTGGTGGACAATTAAGCAACTCAATGGAGGAGGAGGCTCCATAAATATCCCCATCCTCAATGATGGAAGAGCCCAGCACATCAGTGCAAAAGATAAGGCTGAAGCATTCGCAGCGATCTTCAGCCAGAAGTGCCGAGTGGATGATCCATCTCGGTCTCCTCCAGTTGTTCCCAGCATTACAGATACCAGTCTCCAATGAATTCAATTCACTCCATATGATATTCAGAAATGGTTGGAGGCACTGGATACTGCAAAGGCTATGGGCCTGAAAACATTCCAGCAATAGTACTGAAGACTTGTGCTCCAGAATTTGCCAATCCCCTAGCCAAGCTGTCCCAATACAGTTACAACACTGGCATCTACTTGACAATGTGGAAAATTGCCCAATTATGTCCTGTACACAAAAAGTAGGACAAATCCAACCTGGCCAATTACCACCCATCAGTAAAGTGATGGAAGGTGTCAGTAACAGTGCTATCAAGCAGCACCTGCTCAGCAATAACCTGCTCAGTGACGCCCAGTTTGGGTTCCGCCAGGGCCACTCAGCTCCTGATCTCATTACAGCCTTGGTTCAAGCATGGACAAAAGAGCTGAATTCCAGAGGTGAGGTGAGAGTGACAGCCCTCGACATCAAGGCTGCATTCGACCAAGTGTGGCATCAAGGAGCCCTAGCAAAGCTAGAATCAATGGGAACAAAAACAAAGTTGCTGGAAAAGCTCAGCAGGTCCGGCAGCATCTGTGAAGGAGAAAACAGAGTTAACGTTTCGGGTCCGGTGACCATTCCTCAGAACTAATAGTGTTGTTGTTGTAGAATTAATGGGTATCAGGGGGCAAACTCTCCGGTGGTTGATGTCATACTTGACACATAGGAAGTTGGTTGTGGTTGTTGGACATCAGTCATCTCAGCTCCAGGACATCTCTTCAGGAGTTCCTCAGGGTAGTGTCCTAGGTCCAACCATCTTCCGCTGCTTCACAAATGACCTTCCTTCCATCATAAGGTCAGAGGTAGGGATGTTTGCTAATGATTGCACAATGTTCATCATCATTTGTGACTCCTCAGACACTGAAGCAGTCTGTGTTCAAATGCAACAAGATCTGGACAATATCCAGGCTTGGGCTGACAAGTGGCAAGTAACATTCGGGCCACACAAATACCAGACTTTGACCATCTCCAATAAGAGACAATCTAACCACCACCCCTTCACTTTCAATGGTGTTACCATCACTGAATCCCCTATCAACATCCTGGGGGTTTTCATTGACCAGAAACTCAACTGGACTCACCACATAACTGCAGTGGCTACAAGAGCAGGTCAGAGGCTAGGAATACTGCAGTGCGTAACTCACCTCTTGACTCCCAAAGCCTGCCCACCACCTACAAGGCACAAGTCAGGAATGTTTGGATGAGTGCAGCCCCAATATCACTCAAAAAGCTTGACACCATCCAGGACAAAGCAGCCCCCGCTTGATTGGCACTGCATCCACAAGCATTCATGCCCTCCACCACTGACGCTCAGTAGCAGCAGTGTGTAATATCTACAAGATGCATCAGAAATTCACCAAAGATCCTCAGACAGCACCTTCCAAACCCATGACTACTTCTATCTAGAAGGACGGGGGCAGCAGATAAATGGGAACACCACCAGCTTTAAGTTCCCCTCCAAGCTACTCACCATCCTGACCTGGAAATATATTGCCGTTCCTTTACTGTCACTGGGTCAAAATCCTGGAATTCCCTCCCTAAGGGCATTGTGGGCTACCCACAGCAGGTTGACTGCAGCAGTTCAACAAGGCAGCTCACCCCCACCTTCTCAAGGGCAACTAGGGACGGGCAATAAATTCTGGCCAGCCAGCAATGCCCACATCCCACAAAATTTTATAAAAAAAGGGTTGTTTGAATTTGCTGAATTTATGGTCAG